AGGTCATACTGCCTCCGTCATCAGGGCGATCGCCCTGATGACGGAGGCAGTATGACCTCTGAAACGTTGGTTAACATCGACCAGACTACACAGCGCAACAACCCAGAAGACGGAAATCTTCATACTCTGATGACGGAGGCAGTATGACCTCTGAAACGTTGGTTAACATCGACCAGACTACACAGCGCAATAACCCAGAAGACGGATATCTTCATACTCACCGCTGTGAGAACCTCAAGTCTTACAGGTAAATGGTTGCTTGTCTATGTTTTTTTGAAATGCTAGGTTATCTCATGATTTGCAGTCGTGGAAATTAACTTCATTACTGTAGTTTCTGGTCTTGTAATTTGAGTGTATTACTGTCTGCATACCTTCCCATTTATAATTTATAATCATTCTATCATACAATTTCTGATACTGCATAAACTCAGTAGTTGATTCAGCGTTATTAAAGGACTGAATAACAAACCAATATCTTTGGAACAACATGTTTACTCTCAATTATAGTTGCAGTGGCTTCAATAATCGTTCTTCTGTGATGAGTTTATTCCTTTTCAAAACGAGTTTTTTCAGCTGCGTATATTTTTCTTCCAGTTGTGTACCACAGTCAGAGTGGACCTATCTTTGTAAATGGTTTGAGTTGGACCACACCTTTGGTGAATGCCTTTCTTGCTGCTGGTCGGATTCTTGGGTACTCAGTTACAGATCTCAATGGACATCAACAAACAGGTATCTTCGTCAGACATAGTCCTGGATTAAAAGAAGCATTGTCTAGTGATCAAATGTCTGTGTGATTGCTGTAGAGTAATTCAGGTGCCTGTACTTTTCAACTGAAAAGTTAAGAAATCCTAGTATCCACTTTTGAAATAAATATACCAGGGTTAATTAGTGTCATTATTAGTTCCAAAAGAGATCAATACAAGTAAAAAGAAGTTCGGTTCATGTTTGAACCATCACATTTTTTAATTTGTTGTCAGTTGGTGGTTTTAAGTAAATTCAATATGTGAACACAATTAAAAGCTGAATTGCTTTCATTCAGCACAGCTTCAGTAGGAAATAATTTGTAAATTAAATATGAAACTTCAGTACACACCAATGTTCTGTCTTTTTCTGAAGTTTATGAATGTGATATTGAGCTTGGTCAGCGACAGTTCCTGAGTTGCAAACAAGTTTAAAATAAAAGTTTAAGACAGTGATGATATGTCCGATGGCATGTACCAGTTTTTGTGATTAGTTGGCCATCATGGGAAATTTGATAAAGAATCTTTGTGTAATGATTATATGAATATGGCTGTATTCTGGGTAAACTTCTACCAGACTTCATGGGGCAACAACCCAGAAGACAGTCATATTCAGACTCACCACTGTAAAAACCTCAAATCCTTCTAAGGAATAAATGTGTAGTGGATTACATGTACTGAAATTAATTCTGCCTGCAGCCTTCTGTGTACATTCCCCATTATCATATTTCATGGGCATCCTCTGAGTGGCTTTGGAGATGAAATGTGTGGTTGTATGGCTGAAATCTTTGTTTACCGTGTTAATTTTATGCAATTGACATAGGAGCCTAAAAATAATTATATTTTGAAATGGATGGAAAAGCGACTAGGTGGTGAAGGAGATCTGATTTGTAAATTCCCCCCTTCAATTTGTTAGAAGATGCTGTGTGGTTGACTCCGCAGTATTGTTACAGGGTTCATGGAAGCACAGGTGAACTCACTGCATGGTTCCCGTTGGAGCCCAGAAGATTCATTTATAAAACACTATCCCAGTCCTACACTAACAGTAGCAAGCAACTCGGTAGTTGAGAAGGTAAGAACACGGAATTGTATGTTGCCCATAACATTTAATATTACCTATTCTGATAGGGTTTTCAGTTGTATCAGAACTTTTTACGGGGATGTGATGGTCTAGGACAGAAATTCACAATCTCACAAGGTATGATACCACTATACACCATGTAGGCACTTGGGGGAAGAGTTGGTATAGCTCCTACTCATTCTTAACTTTGGCACTAGGTGGGGGTGATTGAGCATTTGAGTGAAGGGTTGTTTTGGTAGTCAGTGTAATGTGACAACAGAACCAGAGGTCTCAGCCATAGAACTATATTTATTCTTCTTATATGGCTCTCTGGTCCGTATTCGGTCCATGGCCTCCTCAATTCTCCTCTTCCATTCGGTCCTCTGTTAGGTCCGTCTGTCCGAGGCTTTGATTGAGGTTTCGAAATATCTTCCTTTTTACGGTGCAAGGTTGTTAGCCTTGCGACCAACCCCCAACCTGGAGGACCAGGGTACCTGTCTTAGTCTGACCTCTCCCCCTCGACCAATCTGGCTAGGGAGGCCCTACCAGTAGCTCTTGGGGTCACTGAGGTACTCGGCCCCACCACTACGACAACGTGCAGGTACCATTAAGTGGGGAGAACTATATTTGGAATGGGTTATTTATTAACTGGTGTTCTCTTCTGCCACTTGAATTGTTTGGGACAAAATTAAAAGTGATTTATGTGATTTTTTTATAGTTGTTATAGAATATTTTAAGATAAAGGAGCAGCATTTTATGCCAGTATGCTGAATGCATCGTGGATTTTTTCATTGTACCTCAATGTTTACCTTTAATAAAGTTTTAACTTTGTGGGGCATAGGAAATGATTGGTACCAACCATGGGTCTGAGTTTACATTTTTTCTAGTTCTGTTTGTAATCTTTCCTTTTTCTTTTTGGAGTACATAACCACATATTGGGTACAATATATTGCCATGAAACAACAGAAGAATCAAGCAAATCTTTTAACTAGTTCTCATGTTTTCAGGTATTAATTAAAGATGGTTACGAGGCATATGGGGTACAATACAGAAAGTTTGGCAAAAAGTACAAGGTTCGAGCTAAGAAGGCTGTTATAATGAGTGCAGGAGTTGTGGGCACTCCAAAGATTCTCATGCTGTCGGGGATTGGACCGGAGAAACATCTTAGATCGCATGGAGTAAGTGAAGTGTGTGAACTGGATCTGTTTCGTTGTTGTAATTTGGATGATTCAGTAGGACATGTTCTTCCAGAGTTTAAGTTTTAGTCTGATTCTTGTAGAGTTAATTTATTTCTAGAATTTTGGTAAGTTTAATTTTTTCAAAGAAGTTTTGAATGAAATATTTTTATTCCAGCATTTTCTTTACATGTAGAAATGAACTGCTTAATTTGCAATTCCTTGCTGCTAATGGAATTATATGTGTTTTTAGAGGGTTTATTTTTGGAGTAGGCATTTGTTTTTATAAGTAATTACTTCCTAAGTTAACACAAATCTGTAATCTTTATTGTTTCTAGTATTATGAAACAGAATCTTTCCAGGTTGTTTCTTTTCCTTGGAATTTCATTTACTTATTTATGTATTTATTTGTTTTCATTTTAGGATCCTTATAATTGCTACCAATTCTGTGTGCATAGTTCTTCTTAACTAGCCGATAATCACTAATCTGGTTAAAACTCACCACCTTTTGTGGAATATGAAGGCTCATTACAGTTTCAATAAGACCGCGCTCTTGGACCCACTCAGATCTGGTCCTCACACCTTTAATTTCTTTAAGAGTCATTTTAGTGTGATCTTCACACCTGTGACTAGGGCACCACAGTGGTCTCTTCTTTTCAGGTTTTTGGACTAAAATTTTGTATGGCGTTAATATTAAAACCTGTACTAAAATAATGATGTATGCCATTCTCTTGTAATGTGAGTTTTTTTATGGTTTTCCTTGTGAGATTCCAGTGATCCTCAACTTGCCTGTGGGGAAGCACCTCCAGGATCATGTGACCACTGGACTTGATCTCGTCTTGCTAAACCGATCACTGCCCCTGTCTCTCGGTGCTGTGGCATCTCCTGTCTCTTTCTTTAAATATTTCCTATTTGGGCAAGGTACAGTAATAGATTATGTTTAAGCACACTGAAACATTACATCACAGCTAAACAAGAAAAATAAAAATTGTGCACTAGGGTGTCGGGGTGCGAACTGTACTCATATGGCTCAGAATAGGGTTCAGTTATTGACTTTTGAGTTCCATAAAGAGTAAGTCATTTCTTGGCTAGCTAATCTACCAATAGTCTTTCAGAAGTGTGTTAAAAAACTCTCCTGCAATGAAATATAAACATTTTGGTGCAGTGAATTTTGCAGTGTGGAATGTTTATTGAATTTATGTCAGGAACTCGTATATTTGCAGGACCCTGGACCTTTCCAGGTTGTGAGGCTTTAGCAGTGGTGCATACCAATTTGTCGGACGGTGAGACAGAACCGCCCGATCTCCAACTGATGGTCTTACCTACTGGAATTTCCAGTGATGGTGGCGTCCACCTGCGAAAAGCATTGGGCATATCGGACAAGGTACTCGATTATGCTGACCTTATTATAGTTGGTGTTAGATATTAGAGTTAGAGTATTTACACAATACCTACATTCAGAAGAAATTTGTTATTAACGCCATGCTTCAAAACCTTTCTATATGAATTACATGTTCAGCCATCGGCAGTCATCAACATGTAATTTTGACTTCAATCAGAAGTCTTGTGGTATGTAATAGGGATTGTTATATAAAACTCAGCTGTAGTCACCGTTTCCAGCTGTATGTAAATTGCTGTGCGATCGATAACAGATACTGTGAACAAAAAATGTGAAGTATAGAACTTTGAAACCGAAAGGATGATGTGAAACCTATCAAAAAACATCTTTTAATTGTGATAATCCCACTGTCTGTGTTGCAGGCATCTTGAATTCTGGATGAAATGTTTTTTATTGGCAATTAATCCATACAGCAGATGTAAGAAACTGCTTGAGTATCCTAGAGGCAGGTTGAATTACTCCTATTGATTCTAAATACCAAGATTGAAATACGCTGTTCTTATATCACGTACGAGGCGCGTCCACAAAGTAAGTTTCCCACTCGTCCCACAGCTAGCAAACCTTATATTGCGCGAAGCGACTGTGCGTACGTGATAGAGCAATGACATAGCATGGCGCATGCACTAACAGCACCTCCCGCGTTCTCACAGTAGCATCGTTGCAGCTGTTGAAGATGGAGGTTCTTATTCCAGTTCCCGCCGACTGTGAAGTGCGGTCAGTGATAAAAAAAAAAACAGAGATGGTTGTCACACAGTGGTTCCAATCCCCGGCGGCAGACTTCTACGACACAGGTATTCCAAAGTTGGTCCCACGGTATGACAAATGTCTCAATTCCGGTGGCGAATATGTTGAAAAATAGCTGGACACTTGCTGTATCTGTTGCAATAAATATTTCCATGAAATTGTGTTTTGTTTCTGTAAACGGCCCCAGGGAAACTTACTTTGTGGACGAGCCTCGTAGAACGGCTGATCATTTTTGTATTTTTTTATTCAAAATGGTGGTCAGCGTTAAAGAAAGACCATGCCGTCCTCTTATTTCACTACTTGACATGCCATTGACTATAAAGAGACATAGAAGTTGATGTGCCTCTAAATTCTCTCACACACACACACACGTACATTAATAGAGAGCGGAAATATATACAAACATATTTACACAATTGATTTTTGTGTTTGATAGCTGTGGAATGAGTACTTCTCCCCACTGTATGGACAGCACGTTGCGTCCTTGATGCCCGTGTTGCTTCACCCGAAGAGCATGGGTGAGATCCTTCTGAGAAGCAGCAACCCAGAGGAGCCTCCACTCATCCAACCGAACTACCTGACCCACCCCCGTGATGTGGAGACTCTATACCATGGTACTGCAGTGAGCTGTTTGAGAGTCAGTGAAGTGATACTCAAATTAATATTTACATTTTTTTCATGATAAAGTTTTGTCTCACAAGTGCCTAATTTTGTGTTCTTTCAGGAATTGAGTTGGTGAAAAAGTTGTTGAGAACAAAACCCATGCAGGAATTTGGGGCAAGGTTAAATGATAAGCCACTGCCAGGTTGCGAGTCCTTTCCATTTGATTCTAAAAAATATTGGGAGTGCTACATTCGCCACCTCACGCTGACTTCTTACCACCCTGCTGGAACTTGCAAGATGGGCCCCAAATCTGATTTTGGCGCTGTTGTGAATTCCAACCTCATGTGAGTTACGAGCTTTTTCTGACTGTGAAGTTTATAAAATGTTTAACAAATGTGTTCATTGTAACATATAGATGCCAAAGATCTATAACTTTTGTAAGATTTGAGGTTTTCACAGCGGTGAGTATGAAGATTTCCATCTTCTGGGTTGTTGCGCTGTGTAGTCTGGTCGATGTTAACCAACGTTTCGGAGGTCATACTGCCTCCGTCATCAGGGCGACCTCTTTAACGTTGGTAAACATCGACCATACTACACAGCGCAACAACCCAGAAGACAGAAATCTTCATACTCTGATGACGGAGGCAGTATGACCTCTGAAACGTAGGTAAACATCGACCATACTACACAGCGCAACAACCCAGAAGACAGAAATCTTCATACTCTGATGACGGAGGCAGTATGACCTCTGAAACGTAGGTAAACATCGACCATACTACACAGCGCAACAACCCAGAAGACAGAAATCTTCATACTCTGATGACGGAGGCAGTATGACCTCTGAAACGTAGGTAAACATCGACCATACTACACAGCGCAACAACCCAGAAGACAGAAATCTTCATACTCTGATGACGGAGGCAGTATGACCTCTGAAACGTAGGTAAACATCGACCATACTACACAGCGCAACAACCCAGAAGACAGAAATCTTCATACTCTGATGACGGAGGCAGTATGACCTCTGAAACGTAGGTAAACATCGACCATACTACACAGCGCAACAACCCAGAAGACAGAAATCTTCATACTCTGATGACGGAGGCAGTATGACCTCTGAAACGTAGGTAAACATCGACCATACTACACAGCGCAACAACCCAGAAGACAGAAATCTTCATACTCTGATGACGGAGGCAGTATGACCTCTGAAACGTAGGTAAACATCGACCATACTACACAGCGCAACAACCCAGAAGACAGAAATCTTCATACTCTGATGACGGAGGCAGTATGACCTCTGAAACGTAGGTAAACATCGACCATACTACACAGCGCAACAACCCAGAAGACAGAAATCTTCATACTCTGATGACGGAGGCAGTATGACCTCTGAAACGTAGGTAAACATCGACCATACTACACAGCGCAACACCCCAGAAGACGGAAATCTTCATCTATAACTTTTGTTTGAAACATTTTTCAGCATGGTTTACATTTAACAAGATAAAAGGAAAAAAATGCTTTTGTGCTGTTATCTAGTTGTTTACAATTTGTAGAGTTTGTGACTCAGTCATGAACTGTCTATATCAACTGACTAGTTTTGCCAGCAGTTTACTTGTATTTGCCATAAATGAACATGAAGACCAGTGAGAGGTTCATAATTGCAAATTACATGTTCAGGAACTCTGTTTTCTTAAAATTTCAGTGTGCGTTTTCCTCTTATTCCAGGCAGTAAATTCCAGTTCCTTTCATCTGTTGCGCTTCCCAGTACAGATAAATGTTACCTATTTGAATGAAACAAGAATTTTGTATGTCTTTCATAATAGGGTACATAATACACATCGGCTGTTTGTGGTTGATGCGTCAGTGATGCCGAGTCTTCCGAGCGCAAACATCAATGCTGCAGTGATGATGATTGCAGAGAAGGGAGCTGAAATGGTGCAGATGCACTGGAATATGTTGCATGGAAAAAGTACCAGGCGCTCTCTTGGATGGAAATCAGTCGTGGAGGAATACCAGGCCAGTAGAATGTGCTTATCTTAGGTAATTTAAAACCGCTTATCATTATCTTGTTATATACAAGAAGCTGTAGGCATTTAATGTACTGGTACTCAACTGTGGTTCGGAACCTACCAGGAATATCACGCGTTGTAAGATAATGTCACGTTGGTGGCAGGCAGAATGCATTAATCCTCCAAACAGAGAATGTTCTTTAAAAGGTCCCTCCTGCCCCTTGTAATGAAATTTAAAATTTAAATACCTGGAATAAGTTGGTCTGATAACACTGGTACTTTAAATGGAGAAATAAGAGGTTTGCGCCTGTCAGCTGTACTTTCTATGTTATCAGGATCCAGTTTTTCAGAATGCAGGTTTGTATAAAATAAGAGCTTCACGATAGCAGCGTATGTCTGTCAAGTATCTGATTTTTCTATAATTGTCAGTTCTATGGAGGAGGATCAAAACATTCCCAGGGATTTGAATTATTAACAAAACAGAATCATTGTAAAGCTTCCGCTTTTGGGTGAGAGCCACATCAGATATTTGGCATTAACCAACATTTTGGCAAACATTGTAGTTGTCATTTTCAGGGTGGACTGCAATGCAGTTTTGCCAATTATCTGATGTGCCTCTCGCCCAAAAGCTGACATTATGCATCGGACTCAGCCGTGAAAACTTACAGCCGAGTAGAATCATTGTTGTGGCAAATGATTTTAATGATGTTATAAGATGAAAAGTTTACTAGTGGTTACAAGACATGAAAATTTAATTAAAATCATTTACGCCAATAATGGTACTGATTTCTAGTGAATGCTTCAAGTCTGCATAGAAACTTTTTGAGCACTGTGTATAAATATATTTGGTTGCTAGTGCCAGGGCTGTTTGATCTCGTGAACTCTCGTGTCATAGTACGGGGTGATCTGTAGTGTAGATTATGTTGATTTTGGTACGGCTTTGTATTGGCGTACCTGATATCTGTTTATAAATCTCTTGACAAAAAATGAAATAGCTGATTAAGGTACACAAAAGAAGATTTGAAACTGAAAATGAGCTTACTTTGTAAAGTGAGATGTGAATGTACAATAGTATTTCATATTGTTCTTAGAGAAATAGGTTGTGATAATATGAAACGAATTGAACTGTCTCAGGATAAACTCAAATAACATTCCTGTGGTTCTAGTGATGAATGTTCAGTTTGCATAATAACTTGGAATTTGTTAGATTGTTGAATACCTGTCATCTGCTCAAGGAAGATTCTGTATTATGGGGTAGAATTCCTTATTTTTTCACATTAGTATGAACTTCATTTGATTTTGCTTCAGTTAATTTTAATAAAAAGTTTGTACAGTGATGTGGTTTTGAAACACAAAACAGATTTACCTTTGGACTGTCCATGGCATGTTGTGTCATTTTGTGAGGGTGCCTCATTTTGACACATTGTGATGATTGACAGTTCCTGATAAAAATGGCCGTCTTTTGGGTTGTAGTGCCATGTAGTCTGGTAGAAGTTTACCAGTATCAGAAGTAAACTTCTACCAGACTACACAGTGCTACAACCCAGAAGACAGCCATCTTCAGACTCACCACCACGAAAACCTCAAATCGTACTTAGTTCCTAGTAAATATAACATGGCTTCATCACTGAAAACATCGTTGGACAGGCGATTGTCTTTCGTAGAAATCTTTTCCATAATTCCAGCACAAAGTCTAGCATGCTTATTTAATTTGTTGCAACATTTGAAATTTGTAGCAGTTCAGTTGCAAACACTTCCTGACATTTTTCTGCATATTTTGTACATAATGTAAAATAGTACAAAATTATGTTTGTTTGAAGGTTATTATTGTCTTCTGGGTTGTAGCGCTGTGTAGTCTAGTAGAAGCAGAAATAAGGTTGCTGTGAAGTGACACTTCTGTTCGAATAGCTAGTACTTCATTAACGATGTCAACAAAAGAATGTCTCAGTTGGTTAAACCTATGTGACAGATCCAGGGCCTTTAAATCGTTCACAAGGGTGATTCACGATTTTACAGTGGTTTCTGTCTCGAGCTGTTTGTGCGAAAGGGCATTCTTGTAGGTACCTCACATTTAATCCAAGTTGCACCCAACGACAATGCAGGACTGTCTCCAAATCTTAATGCTTCTCTGCATAACGCAGTATCTTGCAGCATCGGTCAGTGTCCACACTGCAAGTGATGAATTTAAAATAATAGTACCATATACATAAATAAAAAGCTACACCCTAATAAAGAACTGTAGTTCTGCCTATGGTGATGATAGTAAAGTAAAGTTTGTCGCGCTACGTGCCGTAAAGGCACTTGGGGTGAGTGGAGGTATAGCTCCTCTCTTCCTTGACCTCGGCACTAGATGGGAGTGAGTGGTCAGCATCACGCCCCTGCCGGCTTTACCCCCGGGAAAGGACCCCGGTACCCATTGTAGAGGAGGCTGGGTGGGCCCCAGAGCCGGTCTGGACACAGGCTAGAGGAAAAATCCTCTGCCCGTCGGGGATCGAACCCCGGTCGTCCAGCCCGTAGCTAGTCACCATACTGACTGAGCTATCCCGGCTCATATGGTGATGATACTATAACCTAAATAATGTTTTGAAATATAAATAATCTGTTTTAAACTGTGATTTTTGTTTCATTTTACATTATTTTAACTTTTATCATCAGAAAACTAAAAAAAATCATATCTATTTATTTATTTCACTGCAATGTATGTTGCCTTTTGTAAGACCTGTGCATGGATCCATAGCATCAATTAACATATTTAAGATATGTGTATGAAACAGGTTACTCTAATGCATTTCACATTTTAGATTATTGCTGAAGATTACCTGATATGGTTGAAACATGTTATAGAAGGTATTTTATGAAAGTAATTGTTTCAGATTAAAGTCCTATGGATGGTTATTTTCATTTTGTTACTGTTCTAGCGGGTTAAAATAATTGAGCAGTGTCCCTGTTAAATCAATTTTATTGGTATTGTGTATTACAGTTCACAGTGTACATCATGTCTCTAGTGAACCACTGCACATTCAAATGACTCTTTATACATAATGTTATTAAACATAATTGTTTTTGAGATCTTGCTGTGCATAGCACAGTACTTAAATGCATGAATGATGTTGAAATATCTCTGGATTAGCAGATGTACAATGGACGTACAAGTCTTGCAGCAATATTTGATAATTGCTATGCCGGTATATCCAGATGCTGTTCTGAAATTATGGTCTATAATATTTTGGAACTTGGCATAGAATGTACCCCTACAATTTAATTTTAAATCTTTAGTTTCAGAAATTGCCTTTTATTATGTGTGGTATCTCGTATTCTTTTCTTTGGATGTTGAACCGTATGGACTGCACATGCAATTGAATTTTGGTGAATAAGCATGATATTGACAGAGCTGTTCATTAGCCCAAGTTGAATGGTGGTGACACTGAGATTTTTTATTCAAAATTACTGTAGCTAAGTTCTTTCGTATGTAAGGGGTCTTGTCATTTTCTAGACATTGGGATTTCAGATAGTTTTACATTTTACGATTTCCTTAAACGTAATCAAATTCAGACCGCAACCCACCATTTCATCTCTCATGATCATTAACATCACAACATGATTCCATATAGGCGACGCCTTTATTCATCTCATAATTAGAAAATTCAGGATTATAAAATCTCAGAATAGCTTCTCTGAATAGCAGCATGTTATGAATTTCCTGAAACCAAGAAAATGTAAATTTACAGCATACTTTGTGAAGAAAAGTCAGAGAAAGTATATGTACACATGCATACTTATTAAATGGCTAGTGACGTTTTCAGGTCATGGTTCATGCCATGAAAAAATCTCTGTTTTTGTAATATGACAATTAATGGACTTTCAGATTAAGTATCGTTGTTCTTTGCCAAAATATGGGAGGGTGACCAATGATGCTCCCATCTGTGGCTGAAATGTGATGATGCATTGATTATTACATCCTTAATATAAATTCTGAGTGAACTTGTTACTCAGATCACATCACAATAAAACCTTCAAGATACAACACTCAAGTAAACACACATGGTTGTACAAAATTCACTGATTTTTTTTTTTCATAATTGACGCATTTGGGGAACATCTATCAGAATTAGGTTAAAGTTAATAATCAGCTTAAAATATATTTATTTTTGTGCATGTAACTTTTGTACTTTTTCTGGTTCAGGGCCTCATATTTAAGTATTTAATACATTTTATCTTCTGGTTTCCGAGTTATTCATGGATGGAAAGATAAGGCAACACATTTATGTCGGTATAGACACATAACGACTTGTGAAGAAAAGAGTTAGTATAGCAACATAGTCATGTCAATGTAGAAAGCAATTAAGATAGACTGAATATGAAAAATTATTATTGTTGTTATTGCTTTACTTTACAAATTCAAATGATATTGACAGATCACCAGCTGATAAATTGCAGTCATAAGAACTAATAACATTTTGTAGTTTAAATGCGTCATGTTTGTGTTTAATTCAGTAATATATTTATTTATTTCCGTCAATACACAAACTTAGTTGTTAAAATTGGTGTTATTAAAGTTAAACTTTAAAATTTGGCGCTTATCATCGCTATTACGATGTTACAATTTTAGCGCTCAGAACGACTGATCTAAAAAATACAAAACAAGACGAAGAACAAAAAGAAACAACCTAGAAAAATGAAAACTACAAAACAAACAAATCAATGATAGTTGCATTAATAAATATACATTAGTTTTAAAGACAAAAATAGCCTGAAGATGATGCAGTTGCATTGAAACATGTTGTGAAATAAAATAATGAGCGCTAAAATTGTAACATCGTAATAGCGATGATAAGCGCCAAATTTTAAAGTTTAACTTTAATAACACCAATATTAACAACTAAGTTTGTGTACTGACGGAAATAAATAAATATATTACTAACAACATTTTGTGAATGAAAATGACAACGTAAACAGATATGCCGTAACACCTTTCTGAGAAGCTAGTTCCTTATTGCATGGATAATGATGGCTATTATGTCACTGTTTTGACGGTTTAACCTGTTTCGTCTACTGAATATAGGCACATTTTCTTTCCTGTCTGTTTTTGTACTTTGAGAGCGGACAAATTAAGTTAAAATACAGTCATCCATTTTCTTGTGGTTTCCCTTATGCCTCAAAGATGGTGCCAGTTGTTTAAAGTATCTTGATTTTATATTGTTGCTTTATGCTTTAAGAATTATTCTTATAGTGGTGTTAAGCTGGAGTAGTTACAAGGTAATATGATAGTTTTAGATTCCTGAAAAGGTAGCAGAGGAATTTATAGTCAACTGGATTAGAATTAGCATGTTTTCCCTTCAAGACTTATTTGGTTTTAATAATTGATTTTGGTAGAATAGAGACTGGACCTGAAGGGTGTCTCCCTAAAAAGTCAGCAAGTGCCAGGGTTCGAGTCAAGTTTATCCACACTCAGGAACTCTCTTCTTAACACAGAACTAATGAGAAAATACAGACTGAATTTCCATGGCGAGCATAAATTCTCTGTGTTTCACAACTGAGCACATCACAATGCTAAGAATTGGTTAACTTGTCTCATGAATGATTCATGGTTCCCCAAAAGACAGTGCAAACTTTGAAGTCACACCAAACAAAAAATCTGTGATGGTTTCTCCTTTCTTATCGGTGATTACACGAAAAATACAAAACATTAAACATCATTGCAACTTTTTAAATCTGTGCAGATTTTTATTTTTATACAGAACTAATTTGAAGTGTGAATCTGCAGGGTATTTTCCCTTTGTACAAATGTACTACAGTTATAAAAAAGGGGGGTTACCATGTGGTGGTCCGGTAACTTTGTCCTTTTTTACAAAATTATTTGTTATTTCTTGTTCCTATATTGATTAACTAAAGTTATTTTAAAACATGATAACATAGCTTCAGGGTTTGCTAGAAAATTCTAGAAAGTGACCACTACGCAGTAATTGCATTTTGGGACCGGAGACTGAAAGGGGACAGAATTCTAATCACATTATTCTGCGTAAAATCTGGAATGCCACACGCGTTTAATAGTTTTGTAACATGAAAAATGTTCTGTTAACTTATTTCATTGGTCACTGGAATCTCATAATTCAAAATTTTTTTTTTAGGTATTTCTTCTTTTAAATTCAGTTTAAAGACTAGCAAACTTTATTTCAGTCTTGATGATAAAACTTAGATTTTGTTTGCCGAGCTTTTAAACCTCGTTATACATTCCTGTGTGATGTCACGTTGATTGACGAGGACTGTAAACCAGTAGCCTCTGATCATTTTGTCAAGGGTGACTAGCAATTTCATTTGAGATTTGTTTTATGTACCTTCAGTCACACTTATGTTTACATATTTTGTTTATAAGTTAGCTAAAATGTTATATTTCATCATTTAATATTCCATATCTGCTGGAATATATTGAGCTAATGTTTATGTTCAGCTTCGGGGTTTATCGTTGAGTCTTCGTATTTCATTAGCAGAGAGAAATAATTCCAGAATGTTTATGTAAAATCCATGATAGAGAGTCTTCAGGATTCTATCCTGTACTCTGAGTGATTGGTTCCGTGGCATTCCAGTTACGCGACACTTTTCCCAACTATTGATATTGCAGTCTAGTAATAACTTTTTTAACAGTTTATCCAACTGTCTCCTCTCTCATAATTTATTTTGTTCTCCATTGTAAGTGTTCACTTTGTGTCCCTGAATGGATTTTTCCAGTACATTCTTAGTAATAACAGTCTCCCATCTTTCACATTTTAATATAATATAGTGCTACTGTGTTTCATGTAATAGCTGTTGAGTAACATAAGTTTTAATTCTGAGTTATTTAAAAAAAACAAAGTACCATATTTCTAAATCCACCTGAAGCTATGTATTCCATTGGTCTGACAGGATATCCTGTAATTATTATATAAGGATAATTAAACCTGATTATCTGCTTCTTGGAACAGACTTTCAGTTTTATGCTAACATTAAAGTTAATATCTAATATACATTTGTTTCTAAAATGGACGGAAGAAATTTGAGTGAGCTTGTGCCAGCACGCCCACACGTCAAACACTCTCAGTGTGTTCAGAAGTAACAGAGAATGAAAGTTAGCAAGAAACTCTTCTAAGAATGAATGATCTAGCCAGACAGACATATTATTAAAAAAAACAAACATGCAAAATATGTTCTGAATACCATGTGGTGTCGCTGAATTTTTCCCTTCAAATAAATCATGGTTACTTCTTCACAGATACCTTTCAGTCATGATTAGCGTCACTTATCAGTAGGTACCACGTTATGTGACCTGTGTTCAGGAAGTATTGAGTTTGAATCTTTGTAGCAGAACTCTTTCTCTTGGCTGAAGGGGATTATGTATGACCTCAGATTTGTTGGATTTGAGGTTTTCACAGCAATGAACCTTAGATTTGCTTGTGTTACTTAATTCGGAACAAACCAAAAGGATAATTATAAAAGTTTAATGGAAAAGTTTTGTGAGAATCTGGCCGCGAAAGCTTTAAAGATTTTAAAGCTTTCTGACCACTTCATCGAGGATACTAAAGTGATCACATTACTGGGCTATTAATTAAGCTTAATCCTCACTTCTGCCATTGTTTGAAAGTAAAACACTTTCAGTGTAATGACATTCACCTAATTAACTCATGATTTATTTGATCCATAAAAGGTACTTCTTCATGGATAGAATTTTAAATTAACTTGATCTACTGAATTAAAGCATACAAGCTTATGGGGTAAAACAATTGTAGGTTTCACTGACGTGTCATAATTTCAAGTTCCCTGTTAACTTTGCATCAGTCTCTCACTTCCTTCAGTGCAAAGTGATATCACACACACTCTAGAAGACAAAGGATTTATTTTACATCCTCTGAAAAAGGGATGGGCTACAAGTCAAAGGGAAAATATTATAATTAAAATTGTATTCTTGTAATAGTTCACATGTTTTTCTAGGATGTTACTTTAATATGTGGCATAAATCAAGTTCAAATTTTCAATATCATTGCCAGAAACCAAATTTTATTCGTTACAGAAAATACTGCAACTTTTCTGTTTAAGTGAGAAAATATATGTTACAAGAATTTCAATAGATTTCCTTTTCTTGCATCTTATACTAAAAGTTTATTTTCTGTAATACAATTCTTCTGAAAGACACAATGTGGACGGATTCCTTCAACGTGTTTCTGTGTAGGGAGACGTAGCCCTATTGGTTACGTTACAGGTTCAGACTCTTAGCTTCTGCTGTTACACAGGGTAAATATACAGGCTGCAACTCCCTGACATAATGAAGCAATGTTTTGAGTGAAATTGCCCATCCCTGATGCTAAACAATTTGAGCTGCTACAAATACTAATAAAAAACTGTTAGAAAATATTGGTGCATGCTGTATGTTCAGTATTGCTAATGTGAAAATACAATGATTATATTATTAACACACTTTGTTTTCATTTTCCTTTGTTCTGTGGAAAATAAACTTAAACATTGCCTGCAAATGAAACTACGATTTAACATTGTACATTACACTTCAGTGTATCCCTGTATGTCATTCATAAACAACCCTTAAACTCTCCGTACTGTGCAAACATTTGGAACTCTTTGTTACCATATTTATTCTTGAGCTGGAATTTTGTTGGCCTGCTTATCTTATTGGAGAGAGAGAAGAGGTACGTTACAGTCATTTTCATGTATGTTATGACACGTTTATGTGATGCATATCACAACAATTTCCGTCATTCGTATTTGTTCTTATTGTATGATTTTCATTTGCGTGTAGAAAAAAACGCGGTATTCCAGATACACATGTCATAACTTGAAAAGAGTTGGGGAACCTCGGATGTAGTGGAGAGTTTTGATTCCTGGGAATTAAGAGTATGAAACTGATCATTTGCCTTCCCTACTGTTCTTGTGAAAGTGTGAAATTTTTCTCGACACCCAAAGTACTCATTTCATGGAATCGTGATACTGCTCAGGATAACGTCACCTTCTTGTCTGGTAGCATTCCTACTTCACATGCTTCATATTCATAAATGATGTTTTTGTTTTAATACTGACTGACTAATCCTAACTACAGTTTCCGTCATCTACCAATGTTCTCAAAGGCAGATGCTGGTATAAGGCCGTAAAATGGTCATGACTGACAATTTCCTTCCCAACTGACTTTTAGTAAAATATTTGGAACCATTTTTTCATTTTATTAATCATACTATTCTTATAAATTGTTTGTTGTAAGACTTGAGGTTCTCACAGCGGTGAGTATGAAGATTTCCGTCTTCTGGGTTGTTCCACAAAGCGCAACAACCCAGAAGACGGAAATCTTCAAATTGTTTGTTCTTCCCACAATTATTGCTGCTTTATTTGACAGTTTTGTGATGACAATAATTATTATAGAAAATTAAATTCTGTTACCAGTCAGTGGAGTACTGTATAATTTTTCCGTAGTTACTGCGTAATTTCCAGCAGTAATATGAGTGAAAGAGATACATGATCCTTTAGAGTTTGGAGGAACTTTGTTATTGTTGTTGTTTTGACTTCTAAACATTCTAACATATTAGTAGGATTTGAGATTCTTACAGCTGCAAGTAAGAAGATGACTGTCTTCTGGGTTATACCAGGTTACATGGCGCTACAATCCACAAGACAGCTGTCTTAATTCTAAAATCTTTAAAACTCAGCTTAAAATATGTAATAGTAAGATTGTCCAGATTTGCTTTGTTGGAGAGCTAACAGTTGTTTTGTCATACATTATAAGGATACACACATTTGAAGTTAACTGAAATTGTAATTTCTGAGCTCAGTTTAGAACTTAATATGTTCTCTTACTTATATTACAAATCACAGATAAATCCCTGTTTCATAACAATATTAATATTAATAATAATAATAATAATAATAATAATGAAAACACCAATCACAAATGTTAAATACATAAAATATAACATTTTGAGCCCTTGAAAGTATTGTTTTCAATATTTCTTATTATTTGTGATCCATTATATGTTTGTAAAGTTTGAAATTTAGTAAAGAGCTGGTATTTGGGTCAAAATCAGCGGTAGAAAAAATTTGCCACATTCTTGCAACTTCACTCGGGGGAATTATTTGTGTATTCCAAAGAGAAATAGAACTTTTTTCAAAATTTAAACTTACACTGAAGCAAAATGTTCAAAATATTCTGAATGCTAAATGTACTGCTGTAGCTTGTCAAAAGCCAGAGCTATTCCAAACTTTGTTTACGCCAGGGTGTGGGAGTGTTAAGTTCTGAATTGTCTAACACCATTGGTCCCTGTATCCTTAGAATGTCTGGAATTGCTGTTTGAAAATAAATTGTTTTCCACTTAATTTAATTTAACTTTTAAAGAGAAAATAAAAATTATATTAATGAACTCTTTAGCGAGTAGAATTCGGGGTTTTCACGGCAGTGAGTCTAAAGATGGCTGTCTTCTGGGTTGTTGCACTGTGTAGCCTCTTAGAAGTTTACTGACATTTCAGAGGTCCTTGCTGTCCCACCCTGATAATGGAGGCAGCAAGGACCCCTGGAACATTGGTAAACATCAACCAGACTATATGGCGCAAAACTCAGAAGACAGCCATCTTCAACTCTTTAGTGATTTGCGATGGTTAGTATCAAGATTCTTGTGGTGGGGTGATTCTTTATGCAGGTCTCAGAACTGCGTAATTGTGAGGGTAGAGATTTACCTGATCCATTAAATACAAAATGTAGTTAATTAGTGTTGATATTTAAAGTATCTGGATAAACGGAATCTTGGCTTTGGTTCAGATTTACGTTTTCATTATATATCCATGTAATGTTTATACTGGTATCTCTTATCAGAGTTAAAGGGTGCCTCAATTTCCATATTATGTAACACATTTATATACAAGATATCACAGAAACCTCTCCGTTATGTTATTTTACTTTTATTGCTAGGATTGCTATTCTGAGACTCTGCAAGTATCATCTGATTTAAGTACATTCAAAACATGATAAAATTTAATATTTAACAAAATGTTTTTCCTTATGTAGCATCTCTGGTGACATACTGAAATGGTTTAACCTAAGTCTTTCAGTCAGTTGAACATTCAGAACATTTAAAAACTAATGGATAGCATTGTTTTCCATTTTGCCTTCCGTTAAAAATTACTCCTGAAGAAGACAGGATAAATTACATTTTAACTTTGATATATCTGGATCATCATCGTAGCCCAGCCCATAGCTGGTTGATTTAAGCTTTCACATGAAAAGTTCAGTCGTCCCGTTAGATTACTTTCTTTTCAACTTCCACATATGTTTGTTGGACAAAATTCTTTGTATAATTTACAATAAAAATCTTTCATATTGCTTTTCTGCCTTGAGACTAATATAGGCCAGCAATTTTAACACACAATACAGCATGGCCCAGAATAAAGTATACTGAAACTTGAGAGTGGATTTTGTTGGAAGATGGATGCGTACATGTGCCATTGGAGCCATCACCTTTTAGCTAGCTGTAGTGTGTATTCAAAATCATTGAGACGCTGTTGCAGGAAGCTGTTTTATCACTGAACATTATTTTTATTAACACAGAATTGAGCAGGGAGGAGGGTTGAGTACATATGTGGTATCACCAATCCCTACTTCAGTGAGGATGAACATGATACATAATCAGAATTTATATTAATATCAATTATCATACCCTTTCTTTATGAATTACATGATTCTTTCCACTAGAAATTTGCCATTTGGGGATAATGGTTTCAGTAAGATGACATATCGCTGCGTACTGTCCACCAAATTTTAACATTTTTCTGCAGGGCATCAATTCAAGAGGAAGTGATTCCTCTTTTCCTTCCGGTTCACCTAACCTCACACCTCCCAGTGTATGAGGAACGCTCAAGTAAGGAATGTACTAGAATTCTGATCCCCTTCATGTTGTTCAATTGAAAAGACTTCTGTCAGGTTCGGAGTGCAATAACGAAATATAACGGAATGTTCAAGTGTATGGGAGTGTATCTGTTCAACTTGATAGCAGAAATCTTGAGCATGTGTCTATGTAATTGCATGTTTTTACAGGTGTGTACCAATATAAAATACACTATATAAAATATTCTGGTATTACTTAATTGTGGGCCATACTGCAGTAGAAATCTGTTGTGTGTTTTATATATCTAATACTGTTAATTACAATGCAATTTACACATTTAATTGAGCTAAAAAGTGAACTTCATTAGTGAAATCTTAATTTTCCAGGTACCAGACATTGAAATTTGGCCCAGAGTATAATTTTTATATAATCCAATACAGTTGACTCTTCCTTAACTGGCAGTCTGTTGTGTCCACCTTCTTTGGAGAAAGGGTGAGAATTTTGATTAACTGTTCTGCCACTTGTACCTGTTCACTGCACTTAAGCAGGAGTCAACTGTATATGAGGGCTTTTTATTCAAGGACATTGTGTCTGGCATATAGCCTAATGTCCAGAACAAACGCAGCTTTCTTTGACGTATGTTACTTTCTTCTTTGTCGTAGTGAACTGATAGTCATAAAAATGGCAGGAGAGCTAAAGCATTCAGAAGTATCGAGAACTTTATAATCAATCTTTTTGGTAGGACATTATACTTCAGATGATTGTCATAGAAAAACTGTGAGGGACTGTGGCCAGAAAAGTGATTTTGAGATTCTTTCATCTGTTGTTTCAGTTATTTGAAAATGTTGTATTATAGCAGTCGGCTCATTGTACCCCAGGAAAAATTCTCCCTTGTGGTTGTTTTAACCCTTGCACTGTTGCGGACACAGAATTTACACTGTTTAGAAATAAACACCATAGATTATTGAAGGAATGTTTTACAGAAAGGAAGCTTGAAATTCACTATGTGTCGTTACCAGACGTTGCATAGGTACAACATTTGTACTTAAATCGCCAGCAGTGAAAGGATTATTTGTGTCTGTAAGAAGTATTAGACCCTCCATGCCATTTCCAGTTAATCAGTGGAGCAAAGAAAAATGCAAATTCACAACCATATAATTTCTTAATTCTTTTAGAAAAAAAACATTTGTAAGTTTGAATTACATCCAGACTTACCATTTTATATAAAAATCATAAAACCGTTTAACTTCAAAATATGTAATATCAGCACAATGTCATTGGATTCTCAAGGAATTTATATTGGTGCACCACACCACAGCAAAAATGTGAGACATCTTAACAAACACAAAACCCTTGCAGAAATTCAGAAATATCAGCTGCTTGTAATGAACACAACATAAATTCTTTTGCATCAGGTAAAAATTACATTTAAATGACACATACCTATATTATATTTTAAATTCTCACAGAAATGAAGTCGTGGCAATGTACAGGCACACAGCATCGCAACCCAGAAGACCACCGTGGATGACACATACCTAGCACAACCACTCATAAATTTACGGTTGATGTCTCAGGTTTCGGTTTTTGCAGGAATTAAAATCTTATTTTAACATACATGAACATATATGAAATGTTTGGCATAATTACAATTTTTGCTGTCATAATTACCATCCTGTGTGGTGTGTGAGTTCACGTCTGTGCCATGGTTTGATTCCAGGGCACTGGGAATTTTGTTTATTTGTTCAGAATCAGTCAGGGGACTGCTTTCTTTTCAGTCGACACTCGAGTGACTGGAACTTGAAGCACTTTACAAAATGTAACTGCACTGTTTTTCTTTCTTCTGTCCATTTCTGTTACGAGCTTGTAACCGACAGATTAAATTGGCAGTAACAGATTTTGCAAATGAATGTTGTCATATAGCCTTGAAGCATGTTATGAACATTTTTTCTCATTTTTTCCAGTGTACAGTTGATAATTATCTTTGCAGCTTATATTTACTTCACCTGTTCAGGTTATACAGGTTTATAATTTCACGAATCGGCTATCGAGACTGCATATGTATGAATGCACGTACGTTTTGGTTCATTAATATCATCGACTTCTTCTGATCTCAGTGCCCACTCTTTTTTATACATCTCTTGGTCTTCCACTTGTTGTGACTGTACTCATTGAAAATTCTAACATGGGACAGTTATTTCGGAATATTTTGTTGCTGTGTACTGACGTTAGTAATCTGCATATCGCTGTTGTCAGTAGTACAATAAAATGACTCCCTTGTAAAACATGTTATAGTCATTTGATTTGACTGCTAGGGAGACCAAAGGATTAAGTGTGTTTAGGTATGTGTAAGCAGTTTTCTGATTGATAAATTTTATGGTTGAAAAATTACGTAGAAGAAATGTAAGTTTTAAGAGTTGACAGAAATGAATTTACAGTTCATTACAAGCATCTGTTAGATATATTTTAACATTCATTGTGCTCCAAATATCAAAGTGCAAAACTTCTAATTTTCTTATTTAAAAAAAATAAAGCCTTATGCAATTCAGACAAAAATGGACATATGCCTTGTCATTGCATTATACCTATTAATATACATCATATCGCCACAGCCCCACGCATCTGCTGATGTGTCAGCATGGAAGTCAACAAACGGTACATAACCCAGTACTTGCGCTTTGGTTCTCCCCAACTGCGCTGGGAAAATTTTCATTCTACAGAAGCTCCACGTTAAGTTTAGACTGTAAACAGGGAGTGAATGCTTACCCAGGAACAGAAATGTAATGTACACCATTGGTGAACATTCTAATAATTTGTGCCATATTCAGTAGATGTCAATGCCAAATTTCTGCATTTTATCTCCTTGGAATGGATACCGGAACACCAGATGCATTCTCGAATCTTACGTTACAGGTCTTCAGCTTCATACATTTTTTATCTCTACAACATATCTTCAATTTTATGAATTTAATTACAGGAATATTATACTTTGTAAATGTTTATGATCTGATAGTTTTCATCATGCAAGTTTACAGTCATCCTTTTATTTTACTGCAATTTTCTTGTTGATGTAGCTGTTTCATTTTCCTGCAATACCAATTTTATAGATTCTTGGGATTTCATGGAAAAGTGTATTTCCTGGATATGTGGCATAAAGAACACCCCCCATCCCAGTCTAGTGGTAGCTTCTGATGTAAGTTATAGGCAGATGGCAAGGCCCAAACCACAAGGAGGCAGCGGTACTGGCAGTCAGTCTCAGATGGCTCATAGCGAGTCTAGCAACAAGTCCAAATATTCTATTTGTGCTTCATCCCATCCCTCGCTGGCAAGTAACAATGTTGCCAACTCTTCCTCTCCGATTACAATGGGCATTGGCTCAGATGAACCATGATGGACAACTGGAGCTATGCTGGTAATAGGTTCCTGTGTAGTGGATGGTGCAGTTGAGGAATTCTTTGCCCGGTTGGTAGAAGTTCGGTTCCGACACCTACGGGACGTTACGTTTGTGATGCCTCGTCTCTTGCTACGCCGTCCCTCTTCCAGCCGGTCCATATCTAATCGCCAGAAACCTCCTTTGCCAGGCTCATCTTTGGAGCGTGGAACTTTTACGAAGCATTTGTTCAGAGATAGGTTGTGCCGTATCGAGTTCTGTAGCACACAACACACTTTGAAGATGAGACAGTTCTGTTGAACATTATCTATTTCTGGTATTTTGTTATACGCATGTGATGTTTAGAGAACAGGATGTACTCCTTCCATTAGGTGATTTTTTTCATTATATTGACACATATATTGGCTGTGACATTTGCCGCTGCCACAAGGAATGACAATAAACAAAAGTTAAAAAATCTGTCAGTATAATGACAACTGTCAAAATCTGTGTATGAAACATTCATCAGACAACATTATTGTGTCTTAGATATTGATATTTTAATTTTATAGATTTTTCTTCTTCATAGCTATTGGCATTAGTAATTAATTTTATAATATATAAATACCATTTCCCACAATTATTTTAAATTCTGTACATTTTGCCTCACCTGCCAGCTAGGATCTGCATTTCGGTAATAAAGGAAGTTGTCTCGGATCCACTTGTATATGGCGGAGAGTGTCATCTTGTTACTGTTGGCTCCCATGGCCATACAGATCAGTGCAGCGTATGAGTAGGGTGGCTTATGGTCCCCAGAGCTTCGGTAGTCCTCCAAGTTGGGTTCTGACAGCATGGTCTCTGTGGGAATAATTTATTTATTTTATGACTGCGTAATGACAAGTGACATGAGCGTCATGATAGAATTTTCGATAGAATGTGTTCTGAATGGTATTTCCGATGATGTTGGAAGGATTATGAGTTGGGAATGTACTTCTTTGGTTCACATACAAGAGACTGCAGAAAATTACATGACAATGCACTTCACAGTTTTGTACTTCATTCTTGTGATGCTGCGGTGGTTAGAAATTGAATTGTGTTGTATCGTGCAGATACAAAAATTTCATACAACACTTTAAGACTTATGCAAAAGTGACACAAGTCAACTGTGCTGTAATTAGTGGCTTCAGGCAACAATCCCATCAACTAAATATTTTCTTGAAGGTCGCTGTCGTCTGGGTTGTTGCGCCGTGTAGTCTGGTAGATTTCCACCAACGTTTCAGAGGTCATACTGCCTCCATCATCAGGGCAATGATCTTCAGACTCACCGCTGTGAAAACCTCAAATCCTAAGTAAATATTTTCTTACAAAGGAATGACCAGTGAAACGAGCAACCATTTTGGTTTGCGATGGTACACTGACCCAACTTCTAATTCCAAAACTTGAGAGGCCCAGTGCCTTTCATATCGATTATACCTTGAAGTGGGTCATGGCTGTACATAACCAATCCTTCATTTCATGGAATGCTAAGTAACCTCTGCAGTTGATACATAATCTTTAAACAACAGATGAAGAAATTAAGAAAACATGAAAGTGTTGAAGCGTATAGTTTAGGAATAATGCTGGACTCGACTCGAAAAAGTATTTTTAATGTTAAGAATGGGTTAAAGTTACGTCTGAACGCAGTGATCCGGCGAACAGTCAGTTTATGTTCTTTGGAATTAGAGGAAAATTGAAGAGATGAGGGAATGTTCATCAGACTGATGAATGTGGTCATTGCAGCTGAAATAGGACTATTTACGCTATTACGGGTAGATTTTGTCTATGAGAAGGGCGTGCTTTACCTAGGATATGTCCTGCTTTCAGAGGGCGTCCTTGTGTCCTTTCCTGGGATGCTGAAATGACCAAAATGTTGTGGATTATGGATACTGGCATTGGATAGTGTTAATCGTGCAGTTGTTGATGGGTTTTGACATTTTACATTGCCACAAGAATAACCAGGTTTCAGGAGGAGAAATGGTCATAAATATTCTTGTACTCACCGTGTTTGTCTTGGACTGGCGCTTGTGGCGAAGGCAGCTGTGCCGTTTGAGATGGTGTGGGCGACGAAGGTGGTGTAGGCAGAAAGGAAGGGATGATATTGAGGTTATGAAGCCAGTTGAGACTTGTTAGCTCCACATCACCATTGTCATTTGTTTCGTCTACACTGCTTCTACTGCTGTCCTCGTTGGTGCCGCATTCTAACGGTGGCTGCCCATATTTCAGTGGTGTCATCATTGTGACCAACATGTTTTCTTAATCTGTTACATAAACATAACATCGTTTTGAGGTTATTTAATGGAAAATGAAATGTGAGGTTATTAATGGCAAATAAAATGTGAGGTTATTTAATGGCAAATAAAATGTGAGGTTATTTAATGGCAAATAAAATGTGAGGTTATTTAATGGCAAATAAAATGTGAGGTTATTTAATGGCAAATAAAATGTGAGGTTATTTAATGGCAAATAAAATGTGAGGTTATTTAATGGCAAATAAAATGTGAGGTTTGAACCAGGGAGCTCTCAAATGCAAATTAGTTGAACTTGACTGTCTTCTGGGATTTTGCACCAAGTAGTTTCATAGAAATTGACCAGTGTTTCAGGGGAGCTTACTGCCTCCCTGATGCTGCAGGCAGGAAGTGCTCTTTTAAATGTTGGTGAATATTTATGAGACTATAAAAGTTAAAATGTATAAAATCATTAAATGTTGACAACAGCGTGAATTCTGTTATTATGTTTTAGTGATGACCACTTCTGGTCGAAACATGTAGTTCGGTAGCAAGCGAACAAATGAAAAACAATCATAAAGGCGTGTGTTAAAATGTGGTAGTGACAATGGTGTTCGATCAATAAACAAACGATAAATAGGGATGCTACAGTACAGGACTGAAAGTTTATATTTTAAAAAGAAAGATATTTTGGCATGTACATAGCCGTTGAAGAAGAAATCGATAATGTTCGATTCGAGTTTCAGGTTAAATATTTGATCGATATGAACATAGAATCGCGCAGATTAAACACGAATTTCATGCACATTGAGGAAATAACTCATTCCTCATTTGTAGCATCACACGTATCACCTCCACTCACAACCTGAGCATACAGTTGGGACCACGTACAATGTCATGTAAGCGAATTGATTTATATTTCCCGACGCTCCATTACTGAATTTGATTCTCTTTTCGACGTGGAGTTAAAATCGCGGAATATGGACAAGACGGGCGTGGAGGAATGACTCGAACACTATAGGCGTCGACACTAGCGATCGATTGAGCGCCGTGACGTCACGCTTTGACTGGACAAAGAACTGACCTGTGCAATCGAACATCTCATATTAAATTCCGGGGCTTTCCCTTTGCAGAAGCTAGGAGCCACGAACGTACCATACGCCTGCAGATGTATAATATTCGCAGATAACCGGGTTCTAATTGGATTTGTTCTGTTGAACGTATGCAAAAAGCAGAAGTACTATGAAATAATTTTATGAATTTTCTCAAGAACCATTCTTTGTACAAGAAATATGTGACAAAGCGTTTACCTTCTTAACATATTAAACTTGTATTACACTGTTTTTTTAAAAGTTATAGTATTGTTCCAGTCCTAATTTACTGACAGACCTCAGCTGTATAAAATAATTGCCAGAAAACCTAACCTAACCTAATCATTCGATACGTATCGTTGAATATTACATAAAAATTATTATCCCTAAACCCCACATCTCCACCAAGAGTCCAGCCAAGGGCATTTTTCGGGGTTGGGATGTTAGTTTCTGTAATCTCGACACCGAAATAAATAACTTTTATTATTTGCGCGCGTTTCGTCTACCGTCCTTGGTTTCCGAGCTACTTAATATGCCTTCACCGGAATTCGACTCCGGGCCCCCGTTTAAATGTCTTACATCCCCTATAACCCACAGTATTTTGTCACCAGTATAGCAACCCTTGATGATTACCTCAAATGTTTGAAAGTGGTAGGGTTATAATAAATTACCAGTACTGAAGTAGTTGTGCTGGATTCTCTTCTATTTCACAAATCTGTGAACGTATGTAAATTTCATTGTAAAAAAACATTTTTCTTTGTGTTAGTTGGCTTCTCTCGTTGAGGATTGAATTTATCAAATTGGCAGTAAAATCCGAGTCTCATGCAGAAATGCTCTAATGTATCTAAAAGCCTGAAAACAAGCCTAAACTTTTGTTTTAATTGCTTTATAATCAAGGTTTGTAATTATAGTAATATTTTTATTATTATTTAATAAGCAGTCGCGGTGAGCCAACAAGGGGTGGTCCAGCAGCTTGTGGGGCTTGGG